GATAATGTGTAAAGGCTATGAAAGGTATGTACTCATGACTATATACGGTGCTTGCAACTGAAATCCGACCCCCTAGCGATGCGTTCACATTCTAGCGGTCTCTGTTTCGTAGTTTTACCATCCCGTGTTGGGTCTTTGCGATGCAAGCGCACCGCTCAGGGGTCGGATTTCAGTTTCCTGCACTGTACATACATGTACGTGGGGCCGGTTAAGTAGTTCCAAGAACGTCGTTTTCTTGTGATATTCGTCAAAGAATTATGAAATTAATTTTGTCAGTTGGAATACATCACTACATCAGGAATAATTGTGTTCTCAGATTGATCAATCGCAGGCATTCTTCACTACGTACAGAAAAGGAATTCCGAGGTGTGTTTACGCCATTGAATTCACAAGAACAAAGCTGTGTGCGCTGGCTCATGATCCAATCTTAGAACCCAAGCCTCAGCGTAGGTAGGCGGGAAGGTGGGTTGCTTGATGGCTGGATGGGTGGGTGAATGGATGGATGGATGGATGGATGGATGAATGGGTGGGTGGGTGGATGGGTGCATGGGTGGGTGGGTGGGTGGATGGATGGATGGATGGTTGGGTGTGTATTGGGTAGGTGGATGGGTAGATAAGTAGGTAGCAATAATAGAATTAGGTAGCCAAACAACCAATCCTTGTCACTTTCTAGGGAACGTAATGTAACATGGCTGCAGCTACTCTTACTGGTGAAAGAGCTGGAAGACTTCCGATGGTGGCTGGTGGATAGTGCAGATGATGGTTCGGCCGCTGTCGGCAAGGTTCTTCAGCGCGTTCACCACACTCTGCGCCGCAAAACTGTCCAGTCCAGAAGTGGGCTCGTCGGCAAACAGCAATGGCGGGTCGGTCAGAATCTAACACGAGAGAAAGTAGGGAGAGAAAAACAAAAAATGTCACGGTTCAAGTCAGACTTGGCTGAAGGCCAAGCTTTACGCATCCGTAGGAACATCACCATGGTAACCACCCTCTATGAATTATGTAGGGGGACATCCGTAGGAACGTCACCACCCTCTATGAATTATGTCACCACCCTCTATGAATTATGTCACCACCCTCTATGAATTATGTCACCACCCTCTATGAATTATGTCACCACCCTCTATGAATTATGTCACCACCCTCTATGAATTATGTCACCACCCTCTATGAATAATGTAGGGGGACATCTGTAGGAACGTCACCACCCTCTATGAATTATGTAGGGGGGGGGGGGGGAGAAACAACAATGGGAGTAAAGTCCCCCTGGCCAGAGAATTCCGACCTCATGAATATAATAGCGCTGGCGGACTATGCAGCGGCGGAAAACAAGCCGGAAAACAAGGAAAATGTGAATGTACAAGAATACGTACTTCAGATGCAAAGGCAAGGCGTTTAGCCTCTCCGCCGGATATACCACGTGTGCCAGTGATCGGACTGCCGATACGTGTGTCACGAATCTTCATCAGACCAAGCTGGGGGGCGATGGGAACGAATGCAAGCAGTAACGTGTGTTACAAGTACATACATGCGTGCACACACGTACACGCACGGGCACACAAACACACATACGTGTACATGCATACACACACACACACACACACACACACACACACACACACACACACACAAACACACATGTCACGACGGGTGTCGTGATTCTATTCCATCTATACACATACATGTATGCAAACCAAGTCATTATATTACTACACGTACAGGAGTCGTGATCTGTCTTCACCCTTACAGTGTACGTAGTACCTCGCGAGTTAACCATTCTGGGCTCACACCCAGACCACTGCGTGTCGACCACGACATGACATCCATCTTGTTCTTTTTTGTTGAGTTACTTTTCTCGTTTTCACCTTGGGGCAACAGCAAGTTTCTTCGCTCGTGCCATATCACTTCAAAGAAACGGAAACTGTTCAATACTCTAGATCCTTGTGCGGTTTGAACTCACCCCTTGCTCTCCCACTGTACCCAACTAAACTTCATTCCGCACAACACACACACACACACACACAAACAGTACTTCATAACTGCAATACAATGCAAAGTGAAACGTATGTTCTATCACAGGAACTCTATACTGCAGTAGCAGCTTGGCTTGCTGGAAGCTCGTAGCTAGAGCGCTAGAGCGACGGGCTATCTTAATGTCTGTGTTGCCTCCTTTGCACCATGGCTGGTAGCTCTGCTTGCTTAGAGCTCGTACCTGTACTGATGAGGGCTTGATGACCGAACCAGCTTGCTGTCTACAGCATTGAGTAGTGCAGTATCACTGTGTGTAATGTGGTGATTGGCTACAGTTAAAGTAAAGAAGTTTCTCCGTTACCGAGTAAGCTCACGCCAAGAGTGCCGCCGTACATGAAACCAACAGTGTTCATCTGTGATCAGTTGCTGTCACGGCAAGATTCCAGAATTACATCAGTTTGAGTGATGTAGTGTGTACAATCAGGGTTCAAGCAGGCCTCTTTCTGCACAACTCCAGCTCAGTTGTGGGCACTACGTCCCCCACCTCAGATCTTCACCACATAAATGATGTAATTATTATTGAATTTCGCCGTGACAGACACACCCATGGAGAAAAGGTCAAAAGCTGCACAATCTTGGTTTCATGTACCGTATTTCCCCGAATACAAGTCACACCTTTTTTATACCTAACTTCAGGGCCAACAAAGGGATGCGACTTACAATCGAGCATGATTTACTACTGAAGTGAATATATCGAAATGATACGACATGGACCTGGAAATGGGGATGCGACTGACAAACGTGGAAGTACGGTACTCTTGCGAACACCCGGAATAATGACGATTGACTGAACGTCATGAACTGTGACTCTACGCTCCAGCTGAGTTAGGTCAGTTCCTGCTATAATCAACGTGAGATGCAGATCTCTGTAGACGGCCGGAGAGTGTGTGGAGTAATCGGGGACTGATCGTTGCTAGGGTCTGCGCAATTAGCACGATGATACGCTCTTTATAGATGGTGTGACTACGTCCAGTAAAGCCTGTAACTAAAGACCACCGTGACTAGCGACCAGCCTGGTACTACAGACCACTTCGCCAGGCACGGACAGTCTCACATTCATAATTTATTATTATTTATTGGAAAGGCTTCCTGTCTGAAGCCTTTCCATACTGGTACTCGATGTTCCAGTTTTGTGACACGAGAATGGCACGAGAATTAGTGTACCGCTGAGTGTACCGCTATACACGTGGTCGACACGTAGTCGACACGTTGTTGATACTTTTTTGACACGTGACCCCGTCAACGGTCTGCTTTGTGCCAATGCCACTCGGTAAACGCCGATGTCGCGTACGACAAAGACGACTATCCCGTACGCGAAATAGTTGAGAACTGCATGACGTGGACCTGACGGCAAGGACAACTGCGAGGAGGCCCCTTTCGGTACCCCTGACGGGAAGGAGAACTGCAGAAGTCGACGAAGTCGAACGAGGAGGCCCCTTTTCCGTACCCCATACTGCAAAGTGCCATTGATGGATACCTTTTGCACCTGGAACGACCCCTTAAACGCTGTCGCGGCGACTATCCCGTACGCGAAATAGTTGAGAACTGCTGACGTGGACCTTTTGCACCTGGAACGGCCCCGTAAACGCTGTCGTGTCGGCGGAGTGAATGTGCAGGGTACTAGGGTGAAAAGAATTGCTGCAAAGACGTCCCCTCTACTAGGCTCTAGGCCTTTGCCTTTGGAGACATCGTCGGCGAACTGAATGCGCAGGGCGAAAAGAATTGCTGCAAAGACGTCCGCTCTAGGCCTTTAGAGACATCGTGGGAACTCCTTCCGGTACTATACAAACTGCTGACGTGGCCGTGGGCATGTGCATGGAGAGTCATGGTGGGACTTCATGTACATGGATACATGGTGGGAATTCCTTCCGGCACCCCCGTACCGCAAAGCCAACGGTGGGGAAGGAGAAGTGCAGACGTGCAGGAAGACGAACGAGGAGGAACCAGGACGAGCGAGCAATGGCAGGACTAGCTGGACCGTAAGTAATAGCTGAATTGTGCATGACAACTTGACATCCATGCAGCACTCGCCACTTGCCACTGCATATTTCTTGTCCACTAACAATGTCTCTCCTCTGCCCCCTGTGTGTCCACGGCCATGTTTCTGAATTGGCCCGATGAATCGAATGTCTTCCGCAACTGGAACGGCCCCGTGAACGCTGTCGCGTCGGCGACTGAATGCGCAGGAGGGAAAATATTGCTGCGAAGACGTCTCCTCTAGACGACGGTAAGGCACCCCATTGATAATGTTGCCAGTGTGTGCCAGGGTATCGCGCGATGGTGAATGAGGAATGATGAAGGGTACTGTGCGTGTGTGACCTGTTACCTTCTACTAACACGTTATCAGGTCGAGAGCGTATTGTAGTCACTCTCTCTATTCCTGTACTTCATTACGTTTAAGGTGTACGTATAACTTCTCAAAAAAATTTAATGGTCTACAGTCGTGTCGGAAGGGTACGGTGGGACTGTAGACATGTTACCTTCTAAGGCTGTGTTTACATGAAGCGTTTCAACCCGGGTTGAGTTCGACCCGGGTCAGATTTCAACCCGCCATGTGCACAAAGTGAATGGCGCGTTTACATGACGCATTGCGCTTGACCCGGGTTGAAATTTCGCCCCGGGTTGGTTTCAACCCTCCCCCCAAGGGGAGGGTTGAAATCAACCCGGGTCAAGAAAATCGTACAAACGTACTCCTTCTAAGGCTGTGTTTACATGAAGCGTTTCAACCCGGGTTGAGTTCGACCCGGGTCAGATTTCAACCCGCCATGTGCACAAAGTGAATGGCGCGTTTACATGACGCATTGCGCTTGACCCGGGTTGAAATTTCGCCCCGGGTTGGTTTCAACCCTCCCCCCAAGGGGAGGGTTGAAATCAACCCGGGTCAAGAAAATCGTACAAACGTACTTCTGTGCGTATCTCGCGCCAGGTTTGAACAGCACTGCAGATGCAAATTTCGCGCGAACGGATTCACGTGACCATACAGGACTGTAGAAGTGGACTTTTGGCGGCATATCAGTATTTGACCCGGGTCAACTGTCTTCATGTAAACGCTCACCTCTTTTGTCTATCGTACAGACTTTCAACCCGGGCTGAACTCGACCGGGTTGAAATTTCTCATGTAAACACAGCCTAACACGTTATCAGGTGGAGAGTGTCTTGTACTCACGTTATCACTATTATCAGGTCGAGAGCGTATTGTAGTCACTCTCTCTATTCCTGTACTTCATTACGTTTCAGGTGTACGTATAACTTTTCCAAAAAATTTAATGGTTCACGTCTTCAGATAGAGAGCGTATTGCACCCACTGTCTAGTCTCTGTAGTGCATTGAGATTTTGTTGATCGAACATGAAATGGATACACAGACAAAGCCAGGCCAAGTACATGGCGAGATGTCGCCAGAAGAACGTCTTCAGGTAGAGAGCGTATTGCACCCACTGTCTAGTCGATTTTGTGGATCGCACATGAAATGGATACACAGACAAAGCAGGCCAAGTACATGAGAGAGTGGACGATGTGCAGATCGACACAGCCGGCGGGTACTTCATTAAAGTTACCCGTGACATAACTAGGATAAAAGTTAATCACTGGAAAAACATTGCCAAGTATGTGAGCACTTTGGACTTGACAGAAGAGTGCACGGGCGACGTTGACAAAACCTACCGCGGTGACTGTCACTATCATGACAGCAGGGCACATCGCACGCAGCATCGCAGATCGTGTCGAATTGCGCATCATAATAATTATTGCAAAATTGCTCCTGTGCATGCAAGTGGATTTCATTGCACTTCTCAGTTTGGGAAATGCTCGATTATGACAATTCTCCGTGTGAGTGCACTAGCCCTGAACAGACATGTAGGTGAACCGTTTGTGGTGTCTCATAGCCTACCTCACGACCTTCTGCTCTCTTTCTTCATCACTTGTATCTTGCAGGTATATCATCCCGTGACGACCACATTGAAGTCTGAATTTGAAGTGTGAAGATGCTTCAGCAACCACATCGTACTTTTCCATTGCTTTCATTGTGCTTCTACTGTGCATGTGTGCAACTTGTGGGGTAAACATGTGATGACATTGTATGCTGGCGACACGGTCAGATGTTCATGCGTCTAACGTACACCTGCATGCTATGCATTGAAAAGGGTTTGCCACTTGCGATCCTGGGACGAGTATCAGGTCCGCTTTGTCCTGTGTGGGCTGTATCAGATTGCTGTTCACTTCTCTATCTGTTGGATATGTGACTTTCTGCAAGTTTCTGGTGTATGATGGCCACGCCCTTGCTCGTCACTTTGTATGATATTACATTCTCTATTCGCTGCTTCCATGGCATGGTCTGCAAACTGCAATCCTTGGGCAAATGTCATGTTTGCTATGTTGTGCTTTGGCCGTCAGCTTGTCTACACGCTGTAGTTGAATTATTTTTGTTTCACAACTGACTTCCTCAAGTACGGTGGCCTCTGCTTTGCATGGCATTATACATGAAGAATTTCCTGTTTGTGTCGTGTGCATGTGCGTATGTGTGCGTGGCCACGTGTGTGTGCCGTGTGCATACACATGTTTGTGTATCTGTGTGCGGGGTAGCGAGGCGGGGAGGGCTGGTATGTATCAGTGTGTTATTGCAGTCGCATGGCTACATACAGTACATCGCGCGCGTGGTCATCATGTTTACCTTCGGGGTTGGGGTGGGGAGGGAACGGAAAAAGAGCTGAAATTATCCATATAAAAATCGCTCTGTGAGCGGTTCTGAAAAACCTTTACTGGTACTGCCCCGTCGTAAAAGTAAGAAATTAGAACTGGCCCATTGTCCCCCCAAATGCGAACTGATCCACCTAAATCGCGAATGACGGGACCCGAACGCACCAGTAGCACGAGGTCGGGAGGGCACAGGACAGCAATTCTCATAGGGTAACACCACCTACCGCTAGTACAGACGGTCAGTACATGGCCTATAGTCCGGACCAACGTCCCCATCTGCATTCACAGGTAGGAACCTCGTGCTACTGGTGCGTTCGGGTCCCGTCATTCGCGATTTAGGTGGATCAGTTCGCATTTGGGGGGACAATGGGCCAGTTCTAATTTCTTACTTTTACGACGGGGCAGTACCAGTAAAGGTTTTTCAGAACCGCTCACAGAGCGATTTTTATATGGATATTATAATTATGGTTGTGCGGTGCAAACCTCGAACTAAGGACCACCTGCCACTAACGGCCGCTTTCTCTGGCCCCAAAACTGAGGTGGTTGTTAGTGACAAGTTTTATTGTAGTTGGCGCCCCTAGTGCTTTCTAGGGTGCTATTATGCCACTGCTTTGACCGACAAAGTGTCGGTTATAAGGACTAGCTTGTTGCCGTGTTAATCACAATTGTATTCGACTTGAAAAGTAATAGTAGGAGAGGCCTACGCGAAACTATAATTATGGCTTCTGTGCTTCGTGTGCTGATATTAGAGAGGTTGCGCACAACGAAAATTCGTAAGA